AGCTGGTAGGCTCGAACTGCAGATCTTGTGGTTTACAGTCCAGTGTTTATGGTAGTGCTGTTGTTGTTGCTAAGTGCCACCAAATCGGTTCCAACTCTTAGCGGCCCTGTGTAGTTTCCGAGGAGCAGCTGGTAGGTTTGAACTGCCAATCTTGTGGTTCGCAGTCCAGTGCCGATCGTACAGCGCCACATCAGGAGTATCACAACAAACGTTGTTTAGTTTCTAAACTGAAAACTATTAGTCATAATACTCCCAACTCCTATTAAGTCTACTCTGAACGGCCCCGTAGGACTGCCATCTTTACTAACTTAGTGAGTTAAAGTGACAGCCCCAAAGCTGTCATCTTTACAGATGTGGAGCATCAGCCACATTTCTGCCTCGGAGCAGCTGGTGGGTTTAAACCAACAACCTTTCAATTCTCCGCCAAGCACCTCAAACACTTCACCAACAGGGCACCCAGCCATAATACTTATATTTATAATGCCTTTCAAGTTTGGTGTCTTCAAGTAGTTATGACTTAGTTTTTGGGATTGCTGTGAGGCTAGATTTAACTAGAAAAACAGAAAACCAACTGCTGTTGAATTGATTCCTATCATAGCGGCTGTGTAGAACTGCCCCCTAGGGTTTCCAAGGCTGCTAATCTTTGCGAACATAGACCGAGCAACTGGTGGAAGTTTTCAGTTAGCAGCTGAGTGCTTTAACCATTGTACCATCAGGGCAACTTAGAAAAATACAATGTATTATTATTCCTCCCTGTTAGCTATTTCATCAAAGCTGTTTTAGAAAGACTTCTAAAATAACATATGATCAATATTTTAAATTAGAAACACTGGAACTCTGAAATAAGATAGTTACTTGACTTTCTAAAAATGTTTTACTGTGAATTATGTGATAGTTTACATGGGAGAACATTAGTTTTACATTCATCCTATCATATATTGTTTCAATGCCATGGTTAATAATCCCCTCCATGCATCATCAACCAACCAAAGGGTATACCCTACAAGCCTGCCCCCCTGCCATCAGCACACAGCCCCTCTCCCTGTCTGGGTCTAGAGTCCCCAGCTGCTCCATTTCTCCACGTCATCGTCTCTGCCTCCATCTCTGGCATCACTGCTTCTCTGGGTAGGGTCCCGCTCTCTGCTCTTCTCCCTTGATGGTCCCAGGGACCATCCATTCCTAAACTGCAAAGTTAATCACTCCCTTCCTTGCTACAAAATGTCTACCTTTACATTTCCAACCCTCACAATCAGTCCTGATAACAATTATTCACTATTGTATCACAAGAGACCTATCCGCATTTCCTTTCATCAGCCCCACCTAGACAGATTGGATACCACTCAGGGGAGATTCTACCTTCCTCCATGCCCTCTGGATCTAGGTTCGCTCTTGAAAGCTTGTAAGCCAGTCACTTCTTGCCTTTGCAGCCCCCACACTTTGGGTAGCCAATGTTCAAGTTGCCCATCCCTGTCTACTCTGTGTATGGAGGGGGTGGGAATGATCCTCATTGTAAAGATTTGTTCCCTCTTTTGAGCTACTGCATCCATAGGTGTAGGTCAAATTCATCAAATTGTATGAAA